TCAGATGATACATTTATCAGATGATACATTTATCAGCTGTGCAGTGATGTAATTAACAGAGAGAAAAAAAAAAACTTCCCTTTCCCTTCTCTTTAAAAAAAAAAACCCCTAATTAATAAGATCTATTATTTGCTAAGCTGAACTTGTTGATCAGAAAGGTCAGCATTCAATGGTTCGTGAGCTCCTGTTACTTGCCCCAGATTCTGCCAACCTAGAGTTTGAAAGTATGTAAAAATGCAAGTAGAAAAATAGGGACCACTTTGGTGGGAAGGTAACAGCGTTCCGTGCACCTTCGAAATTTAGTCATGCCAGCCACATGATCACAGAGGCTCTTCAGCTTTGAAATAGAGATGAGCACCGCTCCCTAGAGTTGGGAATGACTAGCACTTATGTGCGAGGGGAATCTTTACCTTTACCTATTATCTGGATATTATACAGGGCAATTCTTTGGATCTGGAATTTTTGTCTGCTTACCATATAAAGACAAAGTGTTTTAGATTAGTGAACCAGGACTGTTGCACTGCAGTTTTGAAATAATTGGGATAAGATAAGGAATATAACTAATTAGTTTTCAAATAAAGTGTGAAGATACAAAGTGTATGTATAGAAGTATGTTTGTAAAATGTTTTAAAAGGCACAGGAACATTATTTACAAAAGGAAATTTGAGTTGACTAAACACATCCCTAGTAGAGCCAGGAATTTTGATGGACGGAAGTGTTGAGCTGTTTTACAATGATTCATTGCCCTAAGCAATTGTTAATTTTAATTATGATTTGTTTGAATAAACAGTTGGATTCAAGCACTATTGAGGCATAATTTTCATTTTATGTGCCACTATGTTTAAGCTATAGCAATAACAATAGCACTTAGACGTATACTTCTTCACAGTGCTTTTACTGCCCTCTCTTAGCTGTATAAGCCCAAACCAAATCACATTTTTTGTTTAGCGCAGTGTTTCTCAAACTTTACAACTTTCAATTGGGTGAATTTCAATTCCTAGAATTTCCTAGCCAGCAGGCTTGCTTGGGAATTCTAGAAGTTGGCATCAACACATCTTAAAGTTACAAGGTTGGGACTACACTGTTTCCGAAGGCTCAGTGATTTAGATGCAGTTTTATGGCTATTGGCAGTGTCCATTTCCTCCTCCACGCCATCCTACACTGATTATAGTTCTCTGTCTGCATGCATGACTGTTGCTGTGCCTATTGTGTCTCATTTTCCTTAACCGTAAAGAAATGCAGCAGGAATAACCTGACTAAATCAAACTACAGTTTTGTGGTCGTATGACAGCTGTATTTATTTTGACTCAGGTTTTAAAACATAGCTCTGCAAACATATCCTTTACCTCTCTTCTAACCCTTTATGACATGGAGGAAAATGACAAGTGTAGGATATTCTGTCACTGGGCTGGCCTAAGATATTTTGTTACCTGAAAAGAAATAGGAAATGATACTTTCTGAGTCATATATGTTTCAAAGAATCCAAGGTGAACTATTTTGGAATCTGAAGCATAAAATCTCACAAATGTTCCTGTCTATTTCATCCTAGCGGTAAAAATGGAATTGAATACACCCATCCTCCAGATGTTTGGTCACAACTCCCTTAAAACTTACCACAACCAATGGTCAGAAATTATGGAAGTGTGATCCAAACTTCAAGTTGCTTTCTTTTGGACTACAGCATGTAATGCATGAATTTCTGTTGCAAAGCAGCAGTCCCAAACCTTTTTGGCACTAGGGACTGGCTTTGGGGAAGATAAAATTTCCACAGACTGGTGGGGATAGCAATAGCAATAGCAGTTAGACTTATATACCGCTTCATAGGGCTTTCAGCCCTCTCTAAGCGGTTTACAGAGTCAGCATATCGCCCCC